AGGCAGTGCATTTTGAACACTGTGCTGGAAACACATGGAACGTACCTTTCCAGGACCAAGTTCTGGTGAGAACCAGCTCTAAGTGCAGAAATTCAGAGCTATTCGGTATACGCTTCAAAGGATTCTAATTGGCCGCCTTAGTTTTTATCTTGGGCTTCAGTATCATTGTTTGTCTTTATTTTGGACAGCACAGTGGCTAAATGGTTATCACTTCCACCTGGCAGTACTAGGGCCGTTGGTTCGAATCCCAACCATGGCACCACCTGCCTGGAGTTTGCATATTCTCCCTGCGCCTGCGTGGGTTTCCTCCGGATACTTTGGTTTCCTCCCACACTCCAAAGACCTGCTGGTAGGTTAATTGATTCCTGTCCAAATTCGCCCTAGTATGTATGATTGTAAGTTAGGGACCTTAGATTGTACACCCCTTGAGGATCAGGGACTGATGTGAATGTACAGTATATATGTAAAAGCGCTGCGTAAATTGACGGCGCTATACAAGTACCTGAAATAAATACATTTTGCAGAGATGAGGATGGAAGGTTTTGAGCAGTTTAGGAAGGGTTGACACCATTCAGCCCATATAAAAGTGGTGTCTTGTCAGCTTACAAAAGGACTTTGAAACTTAGAGTGCCTTTCTGGCAGACAAACAGGTATTCTTCATAAGGGATTTTGTATAAGCATCTTGTAGTTTCTGTACAGTGGAGTTTAGATTGGGGGAAGCAGCACAACGAGCCAATCAACTAGACTGCAGTGCCAATAAGGGGCAAACTAAAGCTGGCCATACACTTGTAGATTTTCAAATGAAAATTAACATTCCATTTTGGAATGAGTGGAGGTTAATAAAGGAAATACCAAATACATTAGGAATTTGTTTGAGTGGATATTTCCATCTTTGAGTTTTTCAACACTGGTCGATTTTTAACCACTTTAAGACCAGCCACTGCATTAAAATGTTTGCAAGGTGGCATGGCTGCGCAAAAGCACGTTTTTTTTTAAAACGTGCTATTGCAAAACAGGGGGGGGTGCGCGCGAGGTGCGAGGCGCACCACCGCCCTACCTGTCTCACCAATCGCGGCCGCGGATGTCAGTCGCCGGGTCACGGTCAGTCATTACCAGCCGTTTCCCGCGATTAGCGGCAAACACTGACAGAGCAGGGCTGCATTGTTTACACACAGCTCTGCTCTTTGTCAGTTACCTGTCAACTCCTGACAAGCTGATCAAGTTTATCTGTCAGGATCAGCATGTCTCCCTGCAGTACACACCCTCGCCCCCTAGTAAAACACTCCCCTCACACAGTTAACCCTGTCATTGAATAAAAATGTTAACCCCTTCCTCCCCAGTGCCATTAGTACAGTGTCAGTATTTTTTTTTTTTTTTTTTTTGCACTGATCACTGTATTGGTGTCACTGGGGATGTCAGTGACCCCAAGTCAGTTCCCCCCTAGTGTCAGAATGTCCGCCGCAGTCCTGCCATAAGCCGCTGATCGCCGCCATTATTAGTATAAATAAAACTTAAACATTCCAGTATCTTTCCCGCCATTTTGTAAACGCTATAACTTTCACGTAAACCAATTAATTTACACATATTTTTTTTTTTTTTTTTTTAGCAAAGACATGTCGCAGAATACATTTTGGACGAAATTTATGACGAAATTTTATTTTTAAATTTTTTTTTTTTTTACTGGACATGATTTATAGCAAAAAGTCCAAAATATTTTTTTCTCAAAATTGTCAGCCTTTTTTTTTTTTTTTTTATAGCGCAAAACATAAACGCACAGGCGATCAAATACCACAGAAAGAAAGCTCAATTTGTGGGGAAAAAAAGGATGTAAATTTAATTTGGGTGCAGTGTTGCATGTATGCGCAATTGTCAGTTAAAGTAACGCAGCACCGTAACACAAACCTCTTCTGTAACTGCTTCCTGATCACCCTATAGCAGAAATACTGCTACAGGGCGGCATGGGTGCGCAAAATCACATATATATCATATATACACATGATTTGCGCTCCCATGGTTTTCACGCCCCTCCCAGATAGCGTCAGATTGCCCTTCAGTATACCAGTCATCACATTTAACCCCTTGATTGCCAGGAGCACGCTCATGTACAATAAACCTCCATTGCTAGTATAGTGTTTGAACGGGTCAATATCTTTGATCAGATCAGCACTATACCAGTGTTCACATTAGTATAGCGTCCCCAAAAACGCAGCATTAGCGGGATCAGCCCCGGCACCTGCCAGCACCTGTGTTTAGCCCCTACGCTTACCCCCCCTTCTCCCCCAGCAAGTGCAGTGTCAGTAGGTCACTGTCACTTGATACATTGCACACAAAACTGCAGTGTTCGCAGAATCAGTCCTGATCTCTGTTAGCACTTGCCGGTAAATTTTGATGACTCATATGCAGCAGAGTGCCAGTACTAGTGCCGCGCTACCTTTTGGTGAACTGGCGAGTACCAGCGGTCTAGTACATCCTGGTCTTTCACATACCTCCTTCATTTTTGGAGCGGTTTTTCATGGAAGATCTTTATGCATTGATTGTGGATCAAAGCAATTTATATGCACAACAATTTATCGCCGCCAGACCATTCGCATGGAAACTCATTACGGTTTTCAAATTTACATTTTTTGGGGGCCTAACCCTCAACATGGGCATAACTAAAAGAAATGTATTGCGGTTGTATTGGTCCGCAGACCCGATTCATCATATGCCGTGTTCTCTGCTGCCATGGCCAGGCATAGATATGAGAGTATATGTGTTTTATGCATTTCAGCGACAATACACTCTGTCATCCTCGGGGTAACCCTGAATTTGACCGGCTCCACAAAATTCAGCCCCTCGCAAATCGCCTTAACCAAAAATTTGCAGATGTCTATACTCCCCAGCAAAACATCTGCGTTGAGGAGTCCCTTATTAATTTTTCTGGCCGCCTTGCATTCAAACAATTTCTCCCCTGCAAGCGTGCCAGATATGGGGTCAAGATGTAGAAGACCTGTGAGAGGGCAACAGGCTATACTTAGAAGTTTTGGATTTACGTGGGAAAAGATAGTCACGTGGAGCCCCCTGGATGCCCAGACTACATGGGGAGCAGTGACAAGATAGTTTGGGACTTGGTGTCATCCTTTTTCCATATGGGGTACCACTTATACGTGGACAATTTTTATTCAAGCGTGCCACTATTTAGACATTTGTTCAATCTTGGAACTGGCGCTTGTGGCAAATTGTGACCTAATGTGTGGACACGGGGCGGTATATTCTAATGGTGGGCATACCACATACTTTTTCTGGCAGAGATTTCTTCTCATTTTTGTCATTCAGTCCACAGGCTGCATACAAAAAAAAAAGAACATAGTATATATACCCAACAAGGACCAGCGAAGTACTGGTACATCACTGGACTTTGGTTATACCAGGATGATGCCTACAGCTGCAGGCATCATCCTAGTATCGTTTTTTTCAGCCGGTGATCGGCTTTCATGTAAGTGCAATCCTAGTGGCTAATTAGCTGCAAGATTGCTTTTACAAGCAGTGTGGGAGGTGATGCCACCCCTCCCCCGCTGCCTTCCACGGCCTTCTCGGGCACTCTTGTGCCATCGGGGAACCTGAGAATGCAGCCAGTGTTTCTGCCAGCTGACCATAGAGCTGATTGGAGACCAGAATGGTGCCAATCATCTCTATAGCCTAAGAATTCGGAAGCTACAAGCATTTCATCACTTCAGTTTCGCAGGATATAAACAGTGCCATTTGTAAATTGGGAAAGCATCTGAGCACACCGATTTTGGTTTGATTTGATAATGTAAGGGCAGAGGAGATAACTAGAGTCTGATAGACCCCAGATTTCTCAAAAAAGAATATATGACAATGCCCATTGAAGTTATAAGGGATATTTGCATTCCCTGTTATAGCTTTAGAAGTGATCAAAGCAAAAAAAAAAAAAAATGAAAGGCACAAATGTAAAAATAGTAAAGAATCAAAATAACTAAAAAAAAAAAAAAAAAAAATCGCCCCTCCCATGCGCGCACACCTGTGTGCACAAGCCTTGACCCTGTGGCGGTATGTAAACAGCGGTTGCACCATGCATGTGAGGTATTGCTGTGAACGTCAGATCAAGGGCAGTAATTCTAACACTAGACTTCCTCTGTAAATCTAAAATGGTGGCTTTTAAAGCGTTGCCTATGGATATTAAAAATGTTTGCAGATTGTCGCCATTGCACGGGGCATGCGCAGTTTTAAAGCATGTCATGTTTGGTATCTATTTACTCGGCATACCATTATCTTTTATATTTCATGAAATAATTGACCAATATATTGTGTGTTTGTGCATTAAAAGTAAAAAAAAGTTTTTTTTTTTTTTTTTTTTTTTTTGAATTAAATTTGCTTTTGAAAAATCGCTGCACGAGTACTATGTGCCATAAAAAATTGTAGTACCCACCATTTTATTCACTAGGGTGCCTGCTTTAAAAAAAATATATGTTTGGGGGTTTAAATTAATTTCCTAGCAAAAAATACTGATTTGTTTCATGTGAACAAAAAGTGTCAAAGGCTTGATCTTCAGGTGGTTAGAGTGAGTGATGTGTGGCATAAACTCCTAATGCTGGGCATAAAACACCCCCACCCCCCAAAACGACCGCTTTTTGTAAAGTAGACTCCCCAAACTATTTGCTGAGAGACATGTTGAATCAATAGAAGAATTTTTTTTTTTTACCACAAGTTTCTGGAAAATGACAAAAAAAATATAATTTTTTTTTTTTTATACAAAATTGTCACTTAAATGATTTACTGCTCACACATGACATGGGTATATGTGGAATTACTCCCCAAAATACATTCTGGTACTTCTCCCGAGTATGGGGGTACCACATGTGAGAGACATTTTGGCAGTCTAGCCAAGCACAGGACCCCAAAATCCAATAAGCAACTTCAGGCTTTTAAAGGGCTTTATTTCCTCATTACACTTCCTGACTAAACTATCACAGTTTTGGAGGCCCTGAAATGCCAGGATAGCACCTACCCCCCCCCCCCCCCCAATGACCCCTTTTTGGAAAGTAGACACCCCAAGGAATTTGATAAAGCACGGTAAGTATTTTGCAGATCTCATTTGTTGCCACAAGTTTTTGGAAAACAAAAACATATTTTTTCTATTTTTTTTTATATTTCAAAACCTCATGAGAAAAAATGAGATCTGCAAAATACTCACTATGCCTCTTTTTAAATTCCTTGGGGTGTCTACTTTCCAGAAAGGGGTCATTTGGGGGGGGGGGGGGGGGTTGATGCAATCCTGGCATGTTTGGGCCTTTGAAACTGTGATAGGTAGTGAGGAAGTATAATGAGGAAGTTACGCACCTTCAGACTTTCAAAGTGGTCATTGGATTTCAGGCTCCTGTATGTGGCTAGGCTCCCAAAAAGTCTCACACACGTGGTATCCCCATACTCTGTAGAAGTAGCAGAATGTATTTTGGGGTGTAATTCCACATATACCCATGGCTTGTGCGAGAAATAAATCATTTAATTGACAACTTTGTGTAAAAAAAAAAAAAAAAAAAAAAAAAAAATTGTCATTTCCAGAAACTTGTGGAAAAAAAAATAAATCTTCCATGGACACAATATGCCTCTGAGCAGATAGCTTAGGGTGTCTACTTTCCGAAAAGGGGTCATTTGAGGGTGTTTGTACTATCCTGGTATTTTTGCACCTCAAGAAATGTGATGAGCAGTCAGAAAGTAAAAGCTGTGTAAATTCCATTATCTACTGTATACCATATTTTGTAGACACAAACTTTCACACAAAGCAATCAATATACACTTATTGGGAATTTTTCAATCAAAAACATGTAGCAGAATACATTTTGGCCTAAATTTATGATGAAATTTTAGTTTTTTTTTTAATATTGTTTGACCAAAATGAGAAAATATTGTTTTTTTTAAAAAAACAATTTTCTGGTTATAGCAACAAAAATAAAAAGCGCACAGGTGATCAAATACCACCAAAGAAAGCTCTATTTGTGTGAAAAAAAAGGACGTAAATTTTGCTTGGGTGCAGCATTGCATGACCCGCGCAATTATCAGTTGAATTAGTGCAGCGCCGAGTAGCAAAAATAGGCCTGGTCATTAAGGCTACGTTCACACTAGCCTTGTGTGCAGGCGGCAGAGAGGCGTTTGGGAAGCGTTTTTTACCGCTTCCCAAACGCCTCTGCCAATTCTGCACATTACAGCACATGGTGCTGTTCGAACAGGAGCGTTTGCGTCGTGTTGCGTCGCGGCAAAACGGACGCCTCTGGTCGAGTCAGGAGGCTTTGAAGCCTCCTATTCTCGTCTATGGTGCCGCTCCGCAAACGCCCGGCCGGCGTTTGCGGTGCGGTTGCGGGGTGTTTGCGGAGCGGTAACAACACTTAAATGCATTATAGGCATTTGTGGGGCGTTATTAACGCTCGGCAAACGCCTAGCAACCTCCGCTAAACCGCGTATGCGGCGTTTGCGGAGCATATGCCGAGCGTTTTTAACGCTCCGGACCAACGCTTGCCAAACACTATAGGGGCGTTTGGCAAGCGTTGGCAAAACAGCCTAGTGTGAACGAGCCCTAAGGGGGGTAAATCCTCAGGAGCTGGTTAACAAAAGTTGATTTGAACCCAGTGATTAGAAAATCAAACAAACATTCCTAAAACCAAAACATTTCAAGTGGAATTACAGATGAGTTCATTGCTGTGCTGCTAAAAAAAAAAAAAAAAAAAAAACTAAAAAAAAGATGGCTCCTGGCTTTAGTGTGGTAATGTCTGTAAAGCAACTAGTTCACGTCTGTGGGCTTTAGTAGTACAGAATGTGGTTTTAACTTGAGAAAAAATAGGGGGGGGGGGGGGATTCTCTGACAACTAAAAGGGTTAAGCCTTCTTCATTTCAAGGTTCTCTCCACATTTTTGTTCAACTTCAAAATCGTTTGACTTTGACCAAGGATGATTGTGCTGTACCAAGTCGCATCTATATCATTCAGATGTGACTGAAGGGTTTACACTGAAGTCTATGGCCCTCAAGTCACATGAAGTCAGACCAAAGTAGTACAGGAACTGCTTTCAAGTTTCAGTGACTTTAAGTCCCACAGATATGAATGGTACTCATTGGGAAACATGTGGTGTGACTTGTCATGCGACTTTGGGGTCAAAATTCACATGACAAGTCGCAAAAGTATGAATGGGCTCTTAAACCTCAAGTTGCCTTCACATTGGATGGATATAGAAAAATGCAGAACTTGGATAGTGACTATGAATTGCTATTTGTATTTACTAGTGCAAAAGCACTTGCTCAGCTATACTAAATATTGTTATATTTTTGCACTTGTGTTGGTGCTTAACCACTTGAGCTCTGGAAACATTTTACCTCCATCACCAGACCATTTTTTTTTTTCCGTTATTCAGCACTGCGCTACTTTATGACAATTGTGCGGTCATGCAGCTCTATACCCAAATAAAATTGGTATTTGATCATCACTGTTTTTTTTTTGTTTTTTTTTTTATTATGTAAATAAAAAAAAAGATATTCATCTTAAGTGTTACTAAACCCAGGACCCTGCATTCACTATATCTGGTCTCCCACAGTACACGCTAAAAGGAAGTGCAATTATTTTAGTAAATATAACCAGCTAAATACCTTTTAATCATCAGCAGTTGGAGCAGTCTTGTGACTTCTATCAGTGTTCAGCAGAGCACTGGTTACAGCTTGCAGGAGGAGCGTTCTTTCTGCTCTAGGCGGATGTAGAACCCCTGGCCTCTGTCTGGACAGTGCTCATTGGCCCTGTGCTGATCACGTGCACTCTCCCAAGATTAAAAAGAAATAAACCTCTATAGCAATACTCACCAAACTGAGCATGTGCAGTGTCTCCACACGATATGTCTTGTCAGGAGATAAGAGGGGGACACTGGAAGAAGGGGAGAATTAGAGGAGTCAGAATCAAATGGCCTTTTTTACACAATGCAGAGGATTAACCCCTTAGGTTCCACAGTGAGTATATCACTCTTGCTTTACTGCATATACAGACTGATTTTACTGTTGTGGGTTTAGTAACACTTTAATGCCTTCTCTGCATTAAGGTATAAAAAAAAAAGTTTTAAGAGCAGCCCACCCTAAATACTCATCTGAGCTTAATCTCAGTCCAGCGCTGTGCATGTCTTCAGCAGCTTCTCTCTCGGCTCTCACAGCCTTGGATGAGAGCATTGGGAGCCATTGGTTCCTGCTGCTGTCAGTCACACCAGTGAGCAGGGGCGAGCTGGGCTGTGTGTCTGAATAGACGCAAGAATCAACTTCCTATGGCAGAAACCCGAGAAGAGGAGGATCAGGGCTGCTCTGTGCAAAACCATTACACAGAGCAGGTAAGCATGAGACTTTTAATTTTAAAAAACCTGAACCTTTTAATGTCACTTTAAATCCTGACTCTTTCAATAAAAAAGAATATTTGGAAATCCCGCCATATTTAGCTCCTTGTTCAGGAACATCTGTTGTGCTGACAGGGCCACTTGTAGTATCCATTAAATCATATGTTTGTCAGGCATGGTCCAACATTGTTTCTCTGGAAATTGGTCCAAAAGCAATGGTATGTATGTAGATGGGAAGTAGCTGGAGACCAGCAGCATTGAGATGGCAAGAAGGATGAAAAAGTTGAAATGCATCCTTAGCAAAGTGTTGTCTAGTTAGGGTGGTTTGGATGTATATTACACAAATTCTATTTGTCATTTAGGTCTGAATGTGAAGGAAAAGGTAATCAATATATACAGAAATCAATCTGCGCAAAAGCCAGCTTTGTTTTGTTTGTTTCATGTTGAATTTTTTGTGACGATTGAGGTGACAATACTTTTATATAATACTCAAATTATAATGAGAGGAACTTATTTTCACTCTGTCACCACACTGCACAGCAATCTATTGGCCTATTACCAGGGACCTACTTGACTTTCCATGAAATCTGCAATATCTTAAAGCTAAACTCTAGGCAGATATAAGGCACAAAATAATGCAGCTTTGTAATAATCTATATCTCATTTTAAATGCAAGCTGCTTATGTACTTGAATTGGATCTGGCATTGGCCTCTTGCAGTCCCTGCTGGGCTGGTGTGTGAGAAGAAATGCTGCAAACGGCCAATCCATTCATGGGGTGACCAGAAGCATGCTGACAGAGGAGCTCATCACTGTGCTGCTCCTCTTTTTCACGGTCTAGTCCAGGGATGGGCAAACTTTTTGACTTGAGGGCCGCAATGGGTTCATATATTGGACCCGGGGGCCGGACCAAGAGTAGATGAACGATGTGTATGTGTCATCCATAGTAAGTATAGTAATATTCCCCCATAGTAAGCATAGTAATTCATCCCCCCCTATAGTAATTCATCCCCCCCTATAGTAATTCATCCCCCCCATATAGTAATTCATCCCCCATATTAAGTCCCCCCTGTGTCAATTCACTTACCTTTGCTCCGCGCGTTCCTCTCGCCGTGTTCCCGCGCCGTTCCGGTGTAGCATGAAAATCTGTCTCCTATGAGGATCTGTCCCCCTCGACGTATCTGCGCATGTGCCAGTTTCAGGCATTAGCAGCTGATCGGCGATCTCCGGCACATGCGCAGATACGTCGAGGGGGACAGATCCTCATAGGAGACAGATTTTCATGCTACACCGGTCTTCAGGGCGGACTGTGAGAGGAGCCTAGCTCCCCTCACGTTCTCCGCGGGCCGGATTAAAAGGTCCGCCGGGCCTTATATGGCCCGCGGGCCGTAGTTTGCCCATTGCTGGTCTAGTCATAGGCTTGGGTGAGTCCACGAGAGTTATACCATGGAATGGCAGGGCTATTGGTGTGGTGTGTGTGTGTGGGGGTTTTTTTTTTTTTTTTTTTTTTTTTCTTTTGCAAGGGTCCAATCCCCCTGTGCCCCTCAAATTCCTGCACAAAGCCAGGTTCTGAAGACCTGTTTGAACAATTTCATGTGACATAAGTGACCTGCAGTGCTCTGACCTTCTTCTTCTTCTTTTTTTTTTTTTTTTTTTTTTTTTTTTTTTTTTTTTTTTTAAAAACGGTAGTAAAGTCATGGCTGAAAAATTAAAAAGCTGGTTTCTCTGCGAATTTAAGTTTTAATGTACTAGTATGCACTGCTTACTAGAACACTGACAGACTTGCCTGTAAACTGAGTCCTCCAGCACAGTGCTGTCACAGCTTCCCTAGTGCTTCCATTTTCACCTGTGGTCTTTCTGGGTTTTTTTTTTTTTATCTTTTGGCTGCTTGAGTGGCCGGGCTGTGGTGACGTCACTTCCACACATGTGCACGGGAGTTACTTTGCTGCGGCTCGCAGAGCGGACTGTAAATGTGATCTCCGGCATGCTGTCAATCAAGTTGTGGGCCACATCCTGACTGACATCCTGTCAGAATTTGTGGGGTGTTTGTTTTTTTTTTTTTTTTTTTTTTTTTGTTCACCTACCTCTTGAGGATTGACCACAAGTTCTCAATGGGATTAAGGTCTTGGGAGTTTCCTGGCCGTGGACCCATAATTTCGATTTTTTTTTTTTTTTTTCCCACAATGATTTATTATTATTTTATTTTATTTATAAAGCGCCAATAGTTCCTAGCGCTGTAATTGACAGAACATGTGACAGAACAATACATACAATGCAAAACATGAGGGGATCGAGGGCTGGGAGCTGCTGATTGGCTATGTCAAATCACAGCTCAGATGCTTATACAGGACCCTGAATTGGAGAAAAGGTTAAGGCAAGAGAAATTGAGCACTTTTTTGAGTTCAGTGAGATTGAGGAGGTGTCGGTGGCCACAATCTGGGAGGCACATAAAGCATATATCAGAGGAATATTGATTTTGATGGCCCTACAAAATTCAGCTAAAGGAAAGCGCCCTGGCCCAGACGGATATACTGTGGGTTATTTATAAAAAATTTAGCGATCGCCTAGTCCCTAAAATGTGTGGGTATATGAATGCATTAGGGGAGGAGCTGGAAATGAGGGAGGAGTCATTGCAGGCACATATAACGATTATACTTAAAGAAGGAAAATATGGCACACAGTAAGCAAGTTACAGGCACATATCCTTACTAAACATAGACTCCAAATTGTATGCTAAGGTGTTGGCAACCAAACTGAAGGAGTTGATGTTGGAGTGGATACACCTGCATCAGGTAGGATTCATTCCTGGAAGAGAAAGTAGGGACAATGGCCTGAGATCATTGCTTCCTCCTACAAAGGGTAAAAAGAGAGAAACTGCCGACATTATTCCTGTCAATTGACCCCAAAAAGACTTCTGAAAGGGTTAACTGGGGTTTCTGATTGATACGCTAGAGGTCTGAGGAATTAGAGCCTAAAATGTTTAGGTGAATAAAAGGGCTTTATAGCGCACAGTCAGCCGCGGTTAAGCTCAATGGATCCCTCTCTGTTCTTTAAAATGTATAAGAGAACCAGACAAGGATGGCCACTTTCTACATTATTTGTTTTATTCCCTGGAACCTGTCTTGGCGAGGGTAAGAAAGTGTGCAGACATAGCACTGTTGAATGTAACTATAGTTCCTAAACAAGGCACCTCCAGGATTTATAAGAGTCTTGTGGATATGGAGGATGCGAATCCTCCCCAGTTCTTGGAAAAATGGGAACAGGAGCTTGGAACAAAATTGAACAAGCAACAAAAGAATAAAATATTCAAATTAACACGAGATGATGAATTTGATTAGCACAGTTGAAACGAATTACAAATGTTTGGCTAGATGGTATATTACACCGAGTAAGATACATCAACATAAAGGTGAAACCTCTACTTTTTGTTTGAGAGGATGTGGGGAAAAGAGAACAATGGTACATGGTGGGATTGCCTGAAAATACAGGAATACCAGAAGGGAATATTACAATATATCCAGGAAATACAGGCATACCTCAGGTTACGAATTTTAATTTGTTCTGTGGGACTATTTCGTATAGTGAAAAATTTGTACACTGAAACGCCGTTTCCCATAGGAATACATTGAAAACTAATTAATCCGTTCTGGAGGTCAGAAAAAAGTAAACGCTCCTAAAATACTGCATGAGTACTTATCAAGTCATGCGGTATTTTAGTAGTGACAACCATGTGTTTAATGTTTCAGCTGTCAGCGGGGTTCCCCACTGACAACTGAATATAGAAGAATTGCTGGCAATTAAAATAAAAAAAATGGTCTGGGGTCCCCCACTTCCATCCATACCAAGCCCTTTGGGTCTGGTATGGATTTTGAGGGGAACTCCCATACCAAAATAAAAAAAAAAAAATCCATACCAGACCCTTTTATCCGAGCATGCGGCCCGGCAGGTCAGGGGGGGGGAGACGAGCGAGTGCCCCCCCCTCTCGCACCTTGTTCCCATGTTGATAGGGATAAGGGTCTCTTCCCCACAACCCTGGCCAGTGGTTATGGGACTCTGCGGGCAGGGGGCTTATCGGAATTTGGAAGCCCCCGTTAACAAGGGGGGCCCTCAAATCCTACCCCCCTCCCCATGTGAAAAAAGAATTAAAAAAAAAAAAAAAAAAAGCTCCCCTTCTGACGATGGCCCCCAGCTGTCTGCCGGCTCCGGTGGTTTGTCAGTTCTTAAATATGCAGGGGGCGGGGCCACCTGGGGACATCACCCAAGTGACCCCGCCCCATGTGACATCATTGGGGGGTGCGGTCTCTGGGTCATCGTGATTGACTTTGGATCTACTGCGGGGGACATTCTTTTATTTTCTTTTAATAAAGGACTTGTAAAGACCGTGTCCTGTCCTTTTTTTTTTTTTTTTTTTTTTTTTTTTTTTTTTTTTTTTTTCATGCTACACTTTTGTGAATGAGTAGCAGTACCATGTACCCCATACTTATTCACATGGGGGGCGGGATCTGGGGGCTCCCTGCCCCCAGACCCCTACAACCACCGACCAGGGTTGTGGGAAGAGGCCCTTGTCCCCAGCAACATAGGGACAAAGTGCTTTTGTGCCCCAAAGCACCCCCCCCTCCTCATGTTGAGGGCATGTAGACTAGTATGGTTTAGGAGGGGAGAGGGTGCTCTCTCAACAACACCCCCCCCCCCCCCTTTCCTGACCTGCCGGGCTGCATGCTCGGATAAGGGTCTGGTATGGATTTTTTTTTTTTTTTTAATTTTGGTGTGGGAGTTCCCCTCAAAATCCATACCAGACCCGAAGGGCTTGGTATGGATGGGAGGGGGGAACCCCCACGCAGTTTTTTTTTTTTTTTTTTTTTTTTCATCACTATAGCTCAGAGATTCAGCTGCCGCTTTCCTAAGAGTTTTATTTCCAAGAGTTTAAAAGAAACAATGTTTCTTTTTTAGTTTCTTGACTCCAGGGAAAGTGACAGCTAATTCTGTGAGCTATAGTGAAGAGAAAAAAAAAGCCATCAATTGCTTTTAATAATCAGCATCGACATACACTTCATATTGCGAAAAAATTCGTAAACAAAGGCATTATTTTCAGTGGATACTCATTCACAAACTGAAAAGTACATCAACTGAGGCATTTGTTAACCGAGGTACACCTGTATGTGGGATTAATGTACAGAGAAACCCGTGGACATGTTTATTTTATAAATTTTAACCTTTAACCACCTCCCGCCCGCCATATAGTACAATGACGGACGCAAGGTGGTTCTCTTGTTCTGGGAGGACGTCATATGACGTCCTCCCATTCTCACCGTGCATGCGCAGCTCAGGGAGCACACGGCGATCGGCAGTGCGCTGTGTCCCTCGGACACAGCGGATGATAGATCACGGAAAGAGCTGAAGATTTCGGCTCGGTCATGTGATCAGCTGTGTCCAATCACAGCTGATCACATGTAAACAGGGAATTGTCGGTTATCGGCATTTCTTTCCTCTCAAGCTGTCACGCTGACCGAGAGAGAGGAGAGCCGGTAATTGGCTTTCTGCGGAGGGGACATGTACACTGATGATCAGTGTAGCCCCGTCAGTGCCACATATCAGTGCCACACAGTACACATCACTGCCACATATCGGTGCCCATCTGAGCTGCCTTTCAGTGCCACCTATCAATGCCAATCAGTGCCGCCTATCAGTGTCAGTGCCATGTATCAGTGCTGCCTTTCAGTGCCCATCAGTGATGCCTGTCAATGCCCACCAGTGCCTCCTCATCAGTGCCACCTATCAGTGTCCATCAGTGCAGTCTATCAGTGCCCACCACTGCAGCTTCATTAGCGCATATCAGTGAAGGAGAAAAATCACTTATTTACAAAAACTAAGAAAAAAATGTTGTTTTTTTTTCTAACATTTTCAGTGGTTTTTGGTTTAAGAAAAAATAAAAAAACCCAGAGGTGATTAAATACCACCAAAAGAAAGCTCTGTCACAAAAAAAAAATGATAAGTTCATATGGGTACAGTGTTGTATGACCGCACAATTGTCATTCAAAGTGCCACAGCGCTGAAAGGTGGAAATTGGCCTGGGCAGGAAGGGGGTATAAGTGCCCTGTAGGCTAGTGGTTAATAAAACTGCATTAGAAAAAGTTTAGTATATCATTTAATCAGTGCAGCTAAGGGCTTGATTCCCAAATTCTGGCTAGCCCCAGACCCACCAAGAATAAATGACTGGGTTAACAGTGGGAAAATATCTACAGGATGGAGGCGTTGTGTCATACTGAGAAGGATAGAAGAGAAAATTTTAGGAAAATGGAGTAGCTGGTTAATTTTTCAAAACCTCTAAAAGATATTTGAAACTGGCTGGAATATGGGTGGAAGAGTATTAGAGGGAGTTCTAATGGAGTACCTGACTGAGAGAAGGAGATAGGAGGGAAGGGATATAGATAATCGGAGGATAGAAACTAGGAATTCGGATATGGACTGGGGTAACTGGAGGAGGGGGGGGGGGGGGGGGGGAGGGGGGGGGGGCAGGGGATAAGACTGTGCAAATGGAATTTTATGTATTGGTGAAGTTTTTTTTTTATTTTGGTGTTCATTAGATGCTCTTTTTGTATTGGAAAATTTTTTATAAAAGCTATAATGTTTATATGTTTGACATGAACAGAGGGATTGATCACTTTGATTTTGTTTTTCCCTGCTTTGCAGGAAAAAGAAACGGTCTGCAGTACAAAGCAGCACATTCTGCATACACAAACACTTGTTTAGGCACACAACCCCTTGATTTTCCCCTAGATGTTAACCCTTTCAGTCAGTGTCATTAGTACAGTGACCGTGTATTTTAGCACTTATCACTGTATTAGTGTCATTGGAGGTGGCAGTCAGTTCCCACAGTGTCAGATTGCCCACTGCACTATCACAGTCCCTCTACAAATCACTGAACAGCTGCCATTACTAGTATAAAAAAATTTAAATTCCAGTATATATCATTGTTTGTGGATGCTATAACTTTCATGCAAACCAGCCAATATACACTTATTGGGATTTTTTTTTTTTTTTTTAACAGACATGTTGCATAATACATTTCGGTCTAAATTTATAAAGAATTTTTTCCCCCCTCCAAATTTTCAGTCTTATTTTGTTTAGGTAGAATAAAAAACAAAAATAAAGAGAGGTGTGTGTGTGATCTAAACTTAATTTGAGTACAGCATGACTACGCACGTTGCCAGTTAGCATAGTGCTGAATAGCAAAAACTGGCCTGGTCATGAAGGGGGTAAAACCTTCTGGAACTCAAGTTGGTAAATGAACCCCAGAGTGTAGCTGTAGCTCTGTTACCTTAAGGCTAGGTTCACACTGTTGCGGAGTTGGCGGCACGGTAGCCCTTTCATTTGAATAGGCAGGTTCATGGAGCTTTTTCTAAACACGGCCATGGGGAAATTGCATGGTTCTTTTGTAGCGTATGTACTCTCCAGCGCCTCAGGATATGCACAGCCAAAAGGGAAGCCAAGGGTACCAGGACAGCGACAACCAAAAGGAAATGTTCCAGGGGTGCAGCCCTCCTCAGACGGGGAAATCAGCCACTGGATAGAGAGAAAACAGGTGGCGCTCACACCTAGTGCATTATCCAAGGTTTATTGTAGGAATTAAATCATAAAAACATACTCACAGACGAAGCATGTATCTAAAAAGCATAGAAAAATGACAATGGCTACAACGGCGGGCAAGGTGTTCTCACTGTCAGTGGGTTTCGGGGACGAATCCCTTTCCTCAGAGCTGATGACCAACCTCTGATGCTGATGAATGGAAAGTGAAGTAAGAGCCCTGCTGTTGATGCTTCTTTTGTACCATGTGACTTCCCTGCAGTTCCTGCACCTGCAATCCTGCTGCATTTACAGATGAATGGGAGTGCCATTAAGGAAAAAATGGCAACCCAGCTCATTTTTAAAGATTGGTATGTTTGGGCTGCATAATGTAAAGCCAACCTAAAGGAATAAGACTGGCTCGTCCCTGTACTATGTCATAGGCTAGTACGGCAGTCCTTCCCACTTAACTAGTTGCTGTCTGCAGATAGCCGAATGACAGCTGCACTGCGGCCAGCCAGTTCTGGTTGGATGTCATGTGACGTCCTCCCAGAACGTGCTCTCCTGCACACACCCAGTGATCTCTGTGATAGCTGTGTCCTACGGACACAGCTGATCACGTGATGTGGTAAAAGGCCAATCACAGCTGCCTTTTACCACGTGATCAGCCGTGTCCAATGACGCGCTGATCACAGGGAAATGCAGTTGCCGGTTCTTGGCTGCACTTTCCTCAGAGAGCGTGAGAAAAGTACTGCTGAGAACCGGCAGTTTGTCAGAGCAGGGATCGGCACCGATCATCAGGGCCCTGATGAGCAGTGCCCTGATGATCGGTGTCCAGCAGTGCCACCCACCTGTGCTGCCAGTCAGTGCCCAGCAGTTGCGCCTATCAGTGCCCTTCAGTGCTGCGTATCAGTGCCACATATCAGTGCTGCCTCTTCAACGCACATCAGTGAAGGAGAAAAATTACCTGTTTGCAAAATTTTATAATAGAAACAAACTTTTTTTTTTTTTTTTTGCGCAAAAAGTAAAACGCCCAGCGGCAATTAAATACCACCAAAAGAAAGCTCTATTTGTGAGGGAAAAAAAGATAAAAATTTCATATGGGTTCAATGTTGCATGACCACGCAATTATCATTCAAAGTGCGACATCTGTAAAAGCTGAAAATTGTCCTGGTAAGGAAGGGGGTATAAGTGCCCGGTAGGCAAGTGCCTTAAGAATACAAAGGTTTTGGATACTGTTGGCCTACATGAACACTGCAGGAAAATGTGCATAGTGTTGTATTCTAGGGAACACTTTGAAATGTATCTTTACAATGGTCTTCTTGAACCCTCTAGATACTTGCACATATTCATAACAGAGTGTTCTGGGAGTGAGGGGAAATGGCCTTTCACTTTCAGTGTGGAAGATTTCACTAGAAGTCTGACTGCATGTTGTTCATGATGGTTACAGGCAGTGAACCTAAAAGCAGGGAGCTTCACTGCATATAACACTGACCCTGTAGTAGTTTTATTGCATTTCCCGGCTTTTGGAGATCTTTGCATAGTTTGCGGACATTTTAAAGCATACTTTTTTTTTAAATGGGTGCTGCATGTGTTTCTAGATTGCATAGCATAAGTTGCTGTGATTTTTATATACAGTTTTTTTTTTTTTTTTTTGGATGATCTCTAAATGTGCCTGAATAAATGATTGCAGTCTTTAGTATAACTTTTCAGACTCTAGCCTTAATGTGTATTAAATCCTTGTTGTCTTGAAGATTAACATTGAGCGCTATAAAAACCTTTCCCAGTAAATGATTTGGTAAAATTTTTACCTAGAACCTGTAGTTTACAACTGCTCCTGCCCTCTGTGCGGCTTCCCTGAGCTCCTGGTCTTCACTGGAAAGAGTGGATAGTCTCCATTCAGTCTGTTGGCCGAAGTAGGAGCAGGAGCATGTCTTGCCATACAAGGCTACAGGGCTGTGCATTTCAAATGATTTACAATTTAAAAAAAAAAAAAAAAAAAAAGGGAAGGGGTTTGAGAGATTGATTTACAAAAAAAAAAATTCTAATTGTAAATCAATCTCTCTCAAACGCCTTCCCCTTTTTTTTTTTTTTTTTTTCTTTCTCAATCATCTACACTCAGTACCCCATAATGACAACATTTTATAAATGTCTGTTTTAGAAAAAACCTGAAATATCACGTACTTGATAGTAGGGATGCACCGAAATTTCGGCTGAAAATGGCATTATCTGCATTTTGCTGATAGGAACAATTGTGCCAATACAGGGGGGGACTGTATGTACTGCATATGAAGGGTGGGTGGGCGAAGAAAGGCAGGAGAGTAGCAGTATATACAGTGACTGTCATTGCCGGTTTTTAAATGTAATTGCTGGGTTTTATTTTATTTTTTTCTTTACTATAGCTCAGAGAATCAGCTGTCATTTTCCTTGAGCTAAAGGAAACAAAGATTCTTTTTAGTTTCTTTCTCGAGCTAAAATGGTGGAGAAAAAAAGCCAGCAATTACATTTAAAAACCGGCACTGACATATAGTGACAGCCAGTGAGGGAGCCTCTCTGTATACACTGCTCCCTCATTGTATTCACTGCTCCTCTCCTACCCCTCCTTGCACACACTGCCCCCCTCCCCCCTACAAAGATGGCCTGTCACTCGTATGCTATCACATAGCGGACTAGTGGTCCCCTATGTGATGGCAATAAAATCATAAGTTAAAAAAAATAAAAATATACTTGATAGTGGTGCAACCAAAATTAAAATTCCAATACCGAAAATTCAGAATGCATGTGGCTGAAAACCGAACCAAAACATCTGCATATGTGGGGCTGGGGAGGCTCCAATTTTTTTTTCTTGTTGTTTTTTTTTTTTTTTTTTTTTTCTACTTTCGTGTGTGTGTGTGTGTGTGTGTGTGTGTGTGTGTGTGTGTACGA